AGACAGCCCAAGAAGGTCGTGCTCCGCCTCGCTTTGTTTCATCGGCGGGGGCGCCAGATAGATCGAAGGAGGAAGAGGTACCCATGCCTCTACCCTTCGCTCGTTTCCCTTGTTTTTTGGGCATCCTGGGAGGCCCTCGTCGCCGCCGCTGGATTCGCCGCGAAATCTTGGTCAGAACGCACCCCGGGAGAGGCCCGGGGAGTAGCGGTATCGGTACCTTTTGGCTTCCCCACCAGAAGGGGGCGGGAGTCTTTCAGGAGCGAGAGAGGGACGCACACGTACATGGATCCACGCTTGTGTCGAGAGTACGCACTGTGCGAGCTTTCGTATTCTGCGGCCAGTCTCATGGATTGGTGGGCCGTGTTCATGTACGTGCGTGGTCGCGTACGTCTTTTGTGTGCTCCCTGGCCTCAGCTGCCCTGGTACGCCCGTTTTAGAATTCAGCACGTGCCGTGTTCGAGTCGCCCGTGTGAACACGCTGCGTGTTGGTTCGGCGTGCTGGCCCACGTTGTGGCGAGCGCGTCACGCCAGACGTGGAGTTTGCAAGCTCCGTGTTGTGCTCCGTGTCAACACGCTGCGGGCTGCGTCTTGCGCATCGGAGTAGATGGGGGCCTGGACGGCGTCGGGGTGCGGTCGGAAATTTTTGGATGGCGTGCCGCTGCGCCAGTTCTGGCCCACCACGGTTCGGCGCGGCACATTATCCAGAGGCGCCAATGTCCCGAGCCATTCCGAGCCTCCCGTCCCGCGGAGCGGAGCGACACTCTATCCGCTTGCAGGGCATAGCGTGTCGCCGGGGCCACCGCGGAGACAGGCTATGCAGCAATTCTCGACCGTAGACGGGGTCCCAGGTGGAGTCGGAGTAGATGGGGCCGCAGGTCTGGGCCTCCCAGATGAGAGGCTCAGATCTAATTCCGCGGGGGGGGGTCAGGTCCAGGCCTCCTGAGTGGCGACCGAGGAGATGGGGTCGGATGATCGCGCCGCATCGCCGATGCATCGCCGACGCGGTCGATGTGGAGCCAAGGTTCGTCCACGCCGACGTCGCCGATGCATCGCCCATGCATCGGCGATGCGTCGGCGAGGCGTCGGCGATGCGGCGGAGTCCTCCACCCCCAGTTTGCTCGGGCCCTACCTAGGATGCCTCTAGTGCTTGCCACGTTACCTCGGCGGGGGGGATCAGAGGAGGAAGAAGATACCGATACCGCTACCTTGGAGCCACCTGGGGGGCTGAGATGGCCCAGCACTACTTGTGTTCGGTGTCTGGGGGCTGTCTTCGGGCACAGGACCGCCGGGAATCGATCTGGAGTGAACGGCTGGCCCGGATGAACCCATGGGAGGGGTCCGGGATTCGATGTTGAAGGGATTTGCCCACATCCCCCCTCTTGATTGGTTTTCTCGGGGCGCATCCAGCGCAGACCCCCCGGTCGCCTCAAACCGCCACCCCCTTTTCGCCCTGGCTGGATTTGCATGGAAGCTCTGAGCAAAAACCACCCCTTGAGAGGCCATGGGAGTAGCGGCCTCGGTACCGCTGTGTCCCTCAGAAGAGGGGGATCTTTCTTGGTTGAGTCGCTGAATGCGCCCACGCGGCTCTGCGATGAGGCCCCCGCTGATGCTTTGAGCACACTTGCGCCGTGGGCGAAGCAGAGCCTGGATAGTGACGGGCAGGACCACGATATGAGACGCTTCGAGATCGTCCGATCAGGAAGTGGAGTAGTGGGAGGAGGAGGAGGAGGAGGAGGAGGAGCAGGAGGAGGAGGAGCAGGAGGAGGAGGAGAAGAAGGAGGTGGAGGAGAAGGAGAAGGATGATGATGATGAGGAGGAGGAGGAGGAGGAGCCTCCGCGTCCCCCCTGCCCCATCCCCCATCCCTCCCCCTCTCGCTCTCAATCTCCCCACCCTCCTTCCCCCCGTGCCCCTCCCGCTTCCCCCTTCCGCATCCCCCTCGCGCACACCCTCTCCCTCCCACTGCCCCGCCCCCTTGCCACTGCGCTCTCCTTCCCTCTCACCCGCGCGCTGCTCTTCCATCTCGCTCTCCCGCCCCATCCTTCTCTCTCCCCTCACGCTGCCAAGTCCCGCGTCCCTCGCCGACTCCCAGGGAGCAGGACGAGCGAAAGCTGGACGACTGGAGAGGAAGGAGGATGAGGACGAGGAGGAGGAAAAGGAGGAGGAGCACAAGGATCACGAGGAGCAAGGAGGGGGAAGAGGAGAAGGAGGAGGAGGACTGGGAGTGATGATGATGATGATGATGATGATGATGATGATGATGATGATGATGATGATGATGATGATGATGATGATGATAATGATAATGTTAGTGATGATGATGCTGTTCAGGATGATGTTGGTGGTGATGCTTGTGATGATGGCAGTGATGATCGTGATGATGATGCTGATTATGATGACGATGGTGATGATGATGACGATGACGACGATGACGATGACGATGACGATGATGATGATGATGATGATGATGATGATGATGATGATGATGCTGATGATGATGATGATCATGATGATGATGATGGTGGTTGTGGTGGTGATGATGATGCTGATGATGACGGTGCTGCTGATGATGATGACGACGACGATGCTGATGCTGATGCTGATGATGATGGTGGTTGTGTTGGTGGTGATGGTGGTGGTGATGGTGAGGTTGATTGTGATGACGATGGTAATGTTGATGGTGATTGTGATGGTGATGGCGATGGATATAGTGATGGTGATGATGATGGTGAGACTGATAGTGTTGATGATTATGATGATGCTGCCGGTGATGATTAGCACGATGCCGATGCTTATGTTGATGATGATGGTGATGCTGATGATGCTGATGGTGATGGCGATTGTGATTAGCATGCTTATGTTGATGGCGATAAGTGTGATGATGATGCTGATGATGATGCTGATGCTGTTGCTGTTGCTGATGATGATGATGATGATGATGCCGATGATGATAAAGATGATGATGATACAGATGATGATGATGATGATGATGATGATGATGATTATGATGATGAGGATGCTGATGATGTTCATGTTGATGATGATGATGATGCTGATGATGATGATGATGATGATGATGATGATGCTAATGATGATGTGATGGTGTGATGATGATGAGGAGGAGGAGGAGGAGGAGGAGGCGGAGGAGGAGGAGGAGGAGGAGGAGGAGGAGGAGGAGGATGATGCTGCTGCTGCTGCTGCTGCTGCTGCTGATGATGATGATGATGATGATGATGATGATGATGATGATGATGATGATGATGATGATGATGATGATGATGATGATCGGGTAAGGCCACTACGGTCTGGGAGCGGTGCTCGGCGCAGCCGTTATAAATTCTCGTGCACACCCACGGAGCCCTCAGGCCCCACCGAGGAGGGGAGGGGGGGGAGGGGAGCGCTCTGTAGCGCTCAGCGGCTCGGGCCTCCCGCCTCCGAGCCGCGCCCTCGCGAGCGGCTGCGCGGGCGCCTCAGCGGTTCGGGGCGGCCGCCCCCGAGCTCGGCGCCAGCGCCCCCTCGCGTGGGGTGCCGCCCTTGCCGCATCCTCCTCAGCGCGGCGTCCTTGCGGGCGCTGGCCCCGCCCGCGCACGGGCCGCGGAGCGAGACCACGCGGGCGCCGTCGGCGTAGCAGCCGCAGACCGCGCAGAAGACGAGGCGGCGCGGCCCCTCGCCTTTCGACCAGAGGCGGTGCGTCTCGTCGAAGTTCACGTTCCACCAGCGCGGGCGCGGGTGCCCGCCGCCTCGGTGCCTTGCGCACCCTCGGCGCCTGCAGCCTCGCCGCTCACCTCCGCGTCGCCGTCGGCGTGCTGGGCTCCTCCGCGGGCCTGGGCCGCCAGCGCCGCTGCTGCCACCGCGGCTGCGGCGGCTGCTCCCGCGCCCTCGGCGCCTCGTCGGCCCGCACTCGCGGTGGTCCGCGCGCGGCCGCGCCGCGCATCCGCCTCCTGGCCAGGGGCCTGGCGCTTCCGCCCCGCCGTCTGGGGCCCCGGCGGCCCACCGGTGGCGCTCCCCGCCATGGCCGCTGCCGGCCCACCGGGGCCGGGCGTGCCGTCCGATCGGCCCGCGCAGGCGTCGCAGAGCCAGCGCGTCCCGCTCACGTCCGAGGCCGCCGTGCCGTGCGCGCCGCAGGGCCAGCGTCTGCAGCCTGGCCCGCCGTCACGGCAGCGCGCGGCGCCCCGCCGCCCGCATCTGCGCCCGCAGCAGGTGGACTCCGCCGCGCCCGCGTCCGCGCCGTCGGCCGCCGTGAGGGCGGCGCTCCCCAGCTGCAGCGCCTCGCCGAGCCAGCGGGCCGTCGCCACCGCGATCGCGTCGGCCAGTTCGATGCGCTCCACCGCCGCCTCGCTCGTGGGGTGGAGCCCTGCGCCCTTCTTGGCGAAGCCGTCCGCGGCGTGGTTGCCCTCGTAGTCTTCCATCCTGGTGCAGCCGTCGCGGACCGAGCGGAGCGTGGCGTGCCCTTTCACCTTGGTGACCCGCACGCACTGCTGTCCGCCGAAGCCGTCCACGGCCTGCCAGAACTCGCGCCACACCTCCAGGTACGGGCGGTCCCACGCACAGCACCAGGCCTTGCCCGCAGCGAAGCCCGTCATGAGCAGCTTGCAGTCCGTCCTGATCTCGAGGATGCCGTCCGCGCCTGGCAGGCCCCAGCGCAGGGCGCGGGCTGCAGCCAGGATCTCGCCCGCGTTCGCGTCCTGCGGCAGGTGGGCGGGGACGCAGCCCCAGGCGCCGTGCGCTGCACCGCGGACCTGCAGCGCCGCGAGCCCCCAGCCAGCGCGCACCTCGGGCGACCCCGCCTTGCCGTGCATCGCCGAGCCGTCGGTGTACAGGACGCTGGCGCCCGCCAAGGCCGCGTAGCCGTGACCGCTGCTCCACCGCACCTCCTCGGCCTCCAGCGGCGGCGGGAGGGCGGCCACCCGGTCGGGGAACGAGCGCCCTCGGGCAGCGGGGGTCCTCGCTGCCGGACGCCTCGGCCGCGTCGGCGAAGGCCTGCAGCACCTCGTCGCCCGCGATGGCGGCGCGCCTCTCCGCTGCAAGGGCGCGGCACCTCCGGGCGAGGTGCCGCGCCGTGCCGCGGCCGCCGCGCCCCGCGGGGCAGGCTCCCGAGCGGCACGGCGGCGGGCCGAGGGCGGCCCGGCGGGCCACCTGCCGGAGCCCGCCGAGGGGCCGCGCTGCGGGCGCTGGACCACCGCGCCCGCTGCTCGGGGGGGTCGCCTCGGCGGCGAGCGGCCGCCGCCGGAGGCCGCGGGCGGCTGCGCCGCTGGCCACGTGCTCGAGGTCCTCGTCGCGAGCCGCGGCCTCGCGCGTGCCGATGGTGGTGGTGGTGGTGGTGGTGGTGATGATGATGATGATGATGATGATGATGATGATGATGATGATGATGGTGATGATGGTGATGCTGATGCTGATGGTGATGATGCTGATGCTGATGATGATGATGATGATGATGATGATGATGTTGATGGTGAGGCTGACAATGACACTTGTTGTGGTGAGTATGACAATTAGTTAATGATTGATGATGTTGAGTCTGCTGATGCTGCTGCTGATGATGCTGATTATGCTGGCGACGATGATGATGCTGATGATGGCGATGATGGTGATGATGATGATGATGATGATGATGATTATGATGTTGCTGTTGATGATGCTGATGATGCTGATGCTGCTGATGAATATGATGATGCTGATGATGCTGATGATGCTGATGATGCTGATGATGCTGATGATGATGATGATGATGATGCAGCTGCTGCTCATGTTGATACTGGTGATGTTGATGATGATGATGATGATGATGATGATGATGATGATGATGATGATGATGAGGATGAGGATGAGGATGAGGATGAGGATGAGGAGGATGAGGATGAGGAGGAAGATGCTGCTCATGTTAGTGCTGGTGATGATGCTGCTGATGCAGATGTTGCTGATGATGATGTTGCTGCTGATGACGATGCTGGAAGAAGTTGAAGAAATGGTGGTCATGCTGTTCGTGGATGGCGGAGCAGGAGGAGGAGGAGGAGGAGGAGGAGGAGGAGGAGGAGGAGGAGGAGGAGGAGGAGGAGGAGGAAGCCTAGCAGGAGGATGAGTGGGAGCAGGAGCGTTCCAACCCGATGACGCTAGATCCCCGACCCCCCCCTTCGATCCCCGACCCGCCCCTCGACCCCTCGGGCTGGGCTCCCGCGTGCCGCGGCCCTCCCGCGCCTGCTGCCCGCGCCGCGCCGCCCTGGGGCGCCCGGGCGCCCGCGACCCTGGAGCAGCTCTGGGGCGCGGTGCGGTCCAGCCCGCGGCAGCTCGAGGGCCGCGGCGTCGCGGACTGCCTGGGGCGGGCGGCGGAGCTGGGCTTCACCTGGGACGCCCGGGCCGCGCCGCCCGCGGAGCTCGGGGCGCTGCTGGACAGGGTCGGGAGCGTGGCCGCCGAGGACCTGGCGCGGCTGGCGGCCGCGCTGGGCGCCATGTCCCTGAGCGGCTCGCCGGCCGCCAGCACGGTCGCGGCGGGCGCCGCGGGTGCGGCCCCGACGCTCGGAGCGCCAGAGGCCGCCCTGCTCGCGCAGGCGTTCGCGCGGCTCGGGCGCCCCGAGGTCGTCGAGGCCGTGGCGGAGGCTGCGGCCGCCAGGGCCGCCGCGTTCGGGACGCGGGCCCTGGTGCGGGTCGTGTGCGCGGCCGCGACGGCCCGCATGCGCGGCAGCGGGGCCGCGGACGCCGTACTGCACGAGGCCGCGGACCGCGGGGCCCGGCTGCGCCCCGAGTGCCTGGCGAGCCTGGTGTGGGCCATGGGGCGGCTGCGGCGGCGGAGAGAGCGCGCCCTGGCCGCGCTGCTGCCCCACGTCTCGCACAGGCGCCCTCCCCCCTCTCATCCTCCCCTCCATCCGTCCCTCCCTGCTCCGTCAAAGCCTCGCCTCGTCCTCCCCCCCGCCTCTCCTCGATCCTCCGTCCCCCCGTTCTGCTGCCTTCCCCCACGCTCCCCCGTGCCTCCCTCCCTCGCGCTCCGTCCCCCCCCCGGCCCTGGGGCCCCCCTGTCAGGCACAAGGACCTCTCCCCAGCCGCCCTCGCGCACACCCTCGGAGGGCTCTCCCGGCTGCGCCCCGACGGCGGCCGGGTGGGCTGGCTCGAGGAGGACCGGGCCTGCCCGCAGCTGCAGCGTGGCCGTGCCAGCGGAGGTCGCCGTCGTCGGCGTCGATCGTCGAGCGTCGAGCGTCGAGCGGCGGTGGGCACGTCGGCCCAGGCGGAGCCGGCGGGCCGCGGCGTGGAAGTGTTTTGTCGGGGTCGGTGCGGGTTTTCGCGGCTCCTCGCGCTTGCTTCTTTTTTTGGGAGGGGGGGGGGCGGAGCACGCCGGCGGCGGCGGCGTCGTGCGAGGAAGGGGGCGGAGGACGGGGGCGAACCCGGGGCAGCCGTGCGAGCCGCGCCCTGCCAGAGCGCAGCGACGAGGGCGCCCCCGAAGGGCCGGGATGCGGAGAGCAATTAGGGGAGCGGGTCGAGGGATGCGGGCAGGGCGGCACGGCCCAGCACTGCCTCGCGGCGGGGGGCCCCAGCTCGGGCCAGAGGGTGCCTCCCAGAAGGCCTCGGGGGGCGGAGCACGGGAGGGGAGGGGGCGAGCGAGGAGGGGGATGCGATGGGTCATGGTCATGGATGCGGAGGTGGGGGGAAGGGGGAAGAAGTGGTGAGGGTGATGGTGATGAGGAGGGTGAGGAGTTGTAGGAGGAGGAGGAGGAGGAGGTGGAAGAGGAGGAGAAGGAGGAGAAGGAGGAATGGGAGAGAGATGCGGAGGTGAATGTCAGGAATAGGAATAGGAATAGCAACATGACGGTGTCATAAGAAAGATCAAAACTAAAGGGCACTGCATTCACAGCATATCTCTGGCATTCGGAGAAAACCGATCACTGATACGCTAGGTACTCTCTCCTCGTTATCACGCAGGGGCTTGGAACACGACCAGGGCAGCTCAGCCCGAAGATCAGCAGAACAGAAACCGCACGTCCCACAACCGGGCCCCTCAATCGTCATGGTGCTGCTAGCTATGAGTTCATGCGCCCACCCCCCCGGCAGAACTGCAGCCCGATTCCCTCAGGCCGGCGTGAGGCACGAGGGCCGAGCTGCGGCAGAACGCTGCCTGCGCGGCTCAAGCAGCCGAGACCACGCTTGCTCTCATGACGTGGGACGTGCCACACAGTGCGGCCACGATGGGAGCGCGAGGAACACGAGACGACGACGCCGCCGACGACGACGACGGCGACGACGGCGACGACGACGACGACGAGGCCGACGACGTACGGGGGGAGGCCAGAGCGGCAACAGCCTCCTCCGCGGCCTGAGCACCAGAGATGCGGGCTTCGCGCCGAGCAGTGTTGTGTTCCGCGGCGGGCCGCCTCGAGAGTGGCCCAAGGCAGCCGCTTCCTGATCAGTCCTCATTTACGTTTTCCACGTCGAGGAAGGAACAAAAACACCATGAACATAAACTTTTGGCGCTCCGCGTGGATTTCGTGGATCTGCGCTGGGGCCCCCAGGCGGCCCCCAGGCGGCGCCTCTGGCGCCGCCTCTGGCGGCCTGGCGTGCTCCGCGCAGGGGGTTCCAGCGCAGATCCACGAAATCCGCACGGAGCGCCAGAAGTTTATGCCTATTTTTGTTTTGTTTTTATGCAAAAACATGTTCAATGCTGCACATTCTCTCTCGAGCCTATGCACTGATTATGTGCCTCTCTGCTGCGCCAGCTGCAGGGCGCATCACCAGTTCTCCGTTCCCAACAGGCATCCAGTCCTGATGCGTCTTCTGGGCGGCCATCTCGGGAGAAAAGTGTGTGAGGGAATCTGCAGCACATCAAGCTCTGCGGGATCTGATGTCTCGGAATGCTTGCCCATTTCTTTCCAACGTGCGTTCAACCCTCATGAACATGACAACTAGTACTCACTGTGCCAACCTTTGCAAACTGCTCCGTTGTCGGTCACGTAAGTGGCGCTCAGGGATCCTCGAACGGCCTCGCCCTTTGGGATCGCTTGGATTCTGCCCGTGGGTGTGCCTATGGCAGTGGTACCGACCTGACAACTGAACGTCTGAGATAACCGTGACCCCGACGCCTACCCGCCGAAGAGAGGAGTCACGGCTGTCCTTGCCTCCCGACGTGTCCCCAGAGAGAGAGAGAGATAGAGATGCGTTTGCACCGAGCTTGTTCCCAACGTACCTGGAGTCAAGACATCACTGTTGGACCCAGTGGTCACTGTCTGCTCGACTGATGCTGGTGCTGATGTCCACGTCCATGGTGCAGATATCATGCCGCGGAGCCAATCGCTCGGATCAGCGTCGGGCTGTGCCAGCGCCTCTGGGGCCAGCTCGTCAATGAAGCTGAAAGCTTTAGCACCGTGATTTGCCGAACGAAGCTAGACTCGACGTTTTAATGTTTCAGACTCCTGCTTGCACCTCTGGCAGTTGGGGGGGTCACAAGCACCACATTCGAACTTTCGTTGTCGTGTCCAGCACCCTCCAGCGACGACAGTCAGAGCATGAGCTTGGACAACGGAGCTCTATGTGGCAACTCACAGAGTTTAGCAATGAACATGCATATCGACGCGCTGTCAGCTCCACACTCTGGCCCTTCTCCGCAAAACCTTTTCTGGCTGCCTGCTCCCAGAGGCCTCCTTCCAAAGACTGCTTGAAATCAACATTTAAGACTGATGTGTCTACTTGTGTGGTGTCGATCATGGCATCGTCAAAGATCCAGTCGACCGAATCATGTCCTCAACCCCCCAGCTCGCGGGTTGTTCGTTTTTTTGTTCAGAGGGTTCCTTCTGAACCCCCCCGCGAAAACCACCAGACCCCATCCCCAAAAACCCAACTCGGGCTGTTCCAAAGGTGCTTCAGGGGTTCTCCGGCCACCCCAGGCTCCAGGGGGGGGGAAACCACCGGAACAAAAAACCAAACTCGGTTGGTTTTCTAGTTTCTTTTTATGGGGGGGCCCGGGGCCCCTGGCACAGCGTGTCCAGTGTGATGGCGTATGTGTGGTTCCCACCTTGCGTTAACGAGGTATGTGATCACTGCGCAGGCGGGATAACTGCACATGTCGGGACCGTTCGGGGATGTGCAGGGCCTGGATCAGGAGGGAAGAAAACACACAGACAGAATTAATCGTCGATTCCCCGGAAAATATTGGAAAATATGGGAAGTGGGGGGAAGACAAAAACCACAAAAAAAGTGAAAATATTGGGAATCCGGTTATTTGTGTAGTTGATTTGTGTGTCCCAAGGCCCCTTCATTTGATCGATTCAGCCACTCCACTCATACTCGGCGAACTCCGCTCCTGACGGAAGGAACTTGAATCCATGTGGAAAACCCTTGCTGCAAAAACCATCATGGTAGTCGTAATGCTGGGTATTGGCCCACTCCTCCCCAGAGCCCCGACGTCATGAATTTGTTATGACGTGGACCCCCAGCGCTCGGGACCCATTCCCCGATAACGGTTTTTCATCAGGAGTCGTTGCTTGACGGTGGTGAGGGCCCCCAGAGGCCGAAAATAGGGAACAGATCTCTCATCATGTTTTCTTTCATGACCCGACGGGGCCTGCCAGGCGGGGCTAGGACGAGGATACATCCGTTCCAGAGCGTTCCTGAACGCTCTCAGAGCGATTCGGAACGCTCCTCGCCGGATCTCTGAGATTCTTGATATCGTCCTGGCTTCGTCTCAATGCACGTCCTGGCTCCGTCCAGATCTCGTCCTGGCTCCTCCGAGATTCTCGATGTCATCCTCGCCCGGACGTGTCCTCGTCCCGGCTTCGGCTTCTGCACGGGGGGCGGGCGCCCAGCTCAGCTCGTGCCTCCTCGGGGGGCTCGCCCTGGCCCTGGGCGGGGCCCGAGAGGGGCTCCCCCCACGCGGGGGGGTGGCCAGAGGATGCCACGGGCATGCCAGCCAGGCTTAAGTCGGGCCATGGCAAGAATCGTCGTTCACCGAGCGCGTTCCACGACTCGCAAAGTACGGACTCGCACGCGTCCGACAAGCACACGTGCTCCTCGACGTGATTTGTCGTGAATCCCCCCCGGCGGATCCAGGCCATTTGCGAGTAGCTACTTTGCGAGTAGTGGAGCACGTTCGTAGATGTTTCCCATATCTGCGGCATCTGGGGGGCCCTCACGGGGCCTGGGGACCGTCAATCGACGGCTCGGGAGGAAAGATTGGTCCCAGGAATGGGTCGAGGTCCCTGGGTGTCGACGTTACGGAAGGAAACGCGACGTCGGAGGTCTGGGTACCCGTGAAATTTCGAAGGCCGCAGCGGTTTCTTGGATCGGTGCCGGGGGCCCCCGGACGTCGCTGCGCCTGTCGCGCTCCGCGCGCCAGGGAGAGGGTGTCCAGCGCCGATCCCAGAAATCCACGCGGACCTGTGTGGAAGTTCATGCTCATGTCGTTTGTTGTTTCAATTCGAGGTAGTTTTTTTACGTGCGTTTGGGCAGGGAGGGTGTTCGGTACCCCCACTCCCCCCCTCCCCCCTTGCGCCCTGGGGGGCGGTGGTGGTCTGGAACCCCCCTTCCCGTCCTTGCGGCGGGGGGTGCGCGGTGAGGTGGGGGGTGCGGGGGGGGGGGAGGGCAAGCAGTGCCTTTGGTTTCCAGACCCCCTTTCCAGGGAATTCTCCAAACAAAGCGAACTTGAAATGCGCTCTCTTTTTTTTTGTTCTCTCTCTCTCTCTCTCTCTCTGGGGGGGGAGGAAAAGGGGGATTGGGGGAGTGAAGAGGAGAAGGAGGAGGAGGAGGAGGAGGAGGAGGAGGAGGAGGAGGGGGAGGAGGAAAAGGGAAGCCCCGACTGGCCATTCCGGCCATCTCGAAGTCTCGGCGACCGGGCCAGGACTGCGCCCTGCGGCTCGTGGTGCGCTCCCTCAGGCACGTCAGCTGGTTCAATCCGCAGGCCGCCGGTCGGGCCCCCTGCCCCCCTCCACCTGACTCCCAGCATCCCTCACCCCCCCCCTCCCTCCACCTTCCCCCTCACCTTCCCCCCCCCCTCCTCTCCACCTCCCGCTTTCCCCCCCCCCCCCCCCCTCCCTCCACCTTCCCTCTCATCTTCCCCCCCCTCCTCTCCACCTTCCCTGCATCGTTTCCCCCCCTCCGCCGTCCCTCGCTTCCTTCAGTCCTTTACTCGCTCCGATCCTCGCCGCCGTCCCACCCCATGGCGCTTCTCCGGTACCTTCCCACGTCCGTCCCTTCTTCACCTCTCGTTCCGTGCCTCGCTCCCTTCAGCCTGTCTCCCTCGCTCCCGTCCCAATTCTCCCTCGCTCGTTTTCCCCATCTCTTTCTCCCACTCTCCCTCCGCCTTCCCTCCCACGCTTCCCTCGTCTTCTGACCTCACCACTTCTTTCCACTTCTTTGTCCTCCAATTATTGTCCTTTTCTGCCTTTTCTGTCCTATATCTCTCTCTCTGTCTCTCTCTTTCCCTCCCGCCCTCTCCCTCTCTCCCTCTCTCCCTCTGTCCCTGCCTCAGTTCTGCCTCTCTTCGCCCTCCTCTTCGTCATCTCCTCTCGCTCTCGTCCTCCTCTTTTGGCGGATCAGAAGGACGAGGAGGCAGGAGAGGAGTGGCGGGAGGGATGAGAGGAGGGGCAGGAGGGGAGGGGACATGGGGGAGGGCGGCAGTGGAGGAGGCGGAGGAGGGGGAGGACGAGCTGGAGGCTGAGGCACGTGGAACGGAAGGGAGGGGGAGGAGACGTCTTTGGGACTTTGAGCCAGGGTGGCCCCCCTTGGCGCGCTCGCACCAAACATTGCAATTCCTTAAAAACTTCGACTGGAGTCCCGGACCCCAGTTTTCTTTGGCAGCATTCAGATGTAACGTTTGGGGGGGGGGATAGGTGCAAGGTGAGGATTTGATTCATCGACCTTCAATCGCCCATTCATCGCCGATAGGGGCCCGATAGCCCGCCCTGCGCATGACCTTGCGGATTTACTATCCGGGGCTTATTGGCCATCTACCGGCGACGCATCGCCGATTCCAGGCTTATGTTCCCCTCCTCTAAGCTGGTCCCCTCTATCGTTCACCTTAGTGTTTTCGAGCCAGAGCGATCTGTCATGTTCCCTGGGCCCGGAGGGAGGCGGAGGGGAGGGGGGGGGGGGGGGAGGGGAGGGGGAGGGGGAGGGGGAGGGGGAGGGGGGGAGGGGGAGGAGGGGAGGGAGGAGGAGGAGGAGGAGGAGGAGGAGGAGGAGGAGGAGGAGGAGGAGGAGGAGAGGAGGAGGAGGAGAGGAGAGGAGGGAGGAGGAGGAGGAGGAGGAGGAGGAGGAGGAGCGAACAAACTGCAGCGCCCAGATCTCGGGGCCGCCTGCATGCCCCAGAGGAGCTCGTGATCCTCGCGTGCGCCGCCGTGCCGTACTCCACCGCCGGCACGCGCGGCGGCTCGCTCTCGCCGCTGGTGCAGGGTCTGTTCGGCGAGCTGCAGGCGACCTGCGGAGCAGATTCATCCAGGGGAGCAAGAAGTGACATAAGCATAAACACTCGGAGGTCCGCACAGATTTCTCGGATCGGCGCTGGACCCCCCTCCCTGGCGCGCGGAGCGCGCCAAGGGCGGCGCCGGAGGCGCCGCCGGGGGGCCCCAGCGCCGATCCGAGAAATCCGCGCGGACCTCCGAGTTTTCATGTTTATGCCACTTTTTGTTCCTCTATTATCAGAGTTGATCGGGCTTGTTTGGTGTTTGCTGTCTGTTGTTTGTCAATTCGTCCACTGAGATTCTGACTGCTGGTCCCCCTCTATCCGCTCTGGCGCTATCGCCTGGATGCTGGATGCATGCACTTTGAAGTGGAGGCTCACGCTCAAGCGTTCTGCGCCCGCCCCAAACAACAACAGGGCTCCCGCTCCATAATCACTTCAACACTTTTTGCTGGGAGCGGCGTTCACTCGATACCCCCTCGCTTTTTACTCAAGACTGGCGTTCTTGCTCGCCGCCAAGAATCGGCGCTCGAAAAAAAATGCTCGCTCCCGATCGGTAGGTACTCAATCAGCGAGCGAAGAACGGTATAAAATACACTTCTTCGCTGTCGGGGGCGCCTGTCCTTGGGCGGCTGGAAAGTTTATACCCCTACGGTGCAACCATAAAGGGTATAAACTTTCCAGCCGCCCAGGGACAGGCGCCCCCGACAGCGAAAAAGTTTATTTTATACCGTTCTTCGCCCGTTAACTCAAGAGTGGCAGTTGCGCTTTATGTCCGCAAACAGGTCCCTCTACAACAGCGGCTCTCCCGCTCGATATTTCCCTACAATTTAACTCAAGAGTGGAGCCCTTGCTCCCCGCCGAAGACTAGCCCCTCAACAAGATCAGCGCTCCCGCTTGTTAGTCCTTCGCTCTTTGCTCGGGAATGGCGCGCGTGCCTTGGCGCCACAAACCGACCCCCTACATCAACGTCGGTTCGGGTCGATACTTCTTTTCTTTTAACTCAAGAGTGGTGCCCTTCTTTCGGCATCGCCTCTGGAGGGCTTCCTGGCGGCCCCAGGAGGGTTCCGAAAAGGCTCTTGCAGAGGCTCCACCCGGGCCCCGAAGAGGCGCCAATAAATTTCCGCGGGCGCCCCAAGCCGGGCCAAATGAGGCCCCGAGTATTCGTCACAGGCGTTCGCAAAACAGTTTCGGACGAGAGATATGGGCAAAACAGCCCCCAGGTGCATGGAATAATCCCCCCTTGGACGGGGGAGTTAGCATCATGAATGCATGCTGCATATTTGAACAATATGGTAAGATGAATGTTATTGAGCTCCGATTGAAGTGCTCCTCCTGGGGCTCGCACCCTTGTTTTCTACAAGAGAAAATGTCTTGCGCCTCAGACTGGGCCCCTGGCCCCCGAGCTGCAACAACAACGGCTCCCGCACGGTGCGTCCTCACAAATGGTTCAAGATCGCGCTCTCGCGCGGGACTTCCGCATAGTTCGTGCAGGAATCGCGCTCTCGCGTTGGACTTCTTCAGAATATGGAAACGCCGCGCCTACGACACAGCAGGAATCACGCTCTCGCGCTGGACCCTCTCACGACTCACATAGGAATCGCGCTATCGCTTTAAAGTTTCTTGCGATTCATGCAGGACTGACGTTTGAGCGACCCGCCCGCTCGACCCCGCCGATTGGGCTTGCCCGCCCGACACCCGCTAGGGTCCGCCCGCCCGGCCCGTCCATCTTGATTTGCTGCTTATTTTCCTGCTTCTGGCTCTCTTCTTGCTAGTCTCTCTCGTGCTCCATCCTTCTCCCTTTCCCCCTTGTCCCTTCCCTCCTCTCTCCCTCCCCCTGTTTTATTGCTTGCGCCAACTACGCGTGGCAGGTAAAGAAGGTACACTCCCAAGGGGGCTACGATCGGAGACGAAGAAGGCGGGTACCCAGAGTGCGGGAGATACATGTTAATGGCAAACGAGGAGATAAGAGCGAACATAGTTAAACTGATTGCCGTTGAACTTTCATTTCTGAAGGATAATACTTGTTGACCCCCCCGTCTGGTGCACCGTCTGTTTTTTCAATTGGATTGCGCCTCCCTGGGCTCGCACTTCTTAACAGAAAATCGTGAGTCTCCAAACTGCGCCGTTGGCCCCGGACTACTACGACAACGGCTCCCACCTTGCGCTTCCTCACAATTGATTGAAGAGTTCGCGCTCTCTCTCAGGACCTCTTTCAATTCACCCACAAATCGCCCTCTCGAGCGGGACGGCCTCGCAATCTACTCCAAACGCCGCAGCCTCGACACTCGGGCATCCTGCTCTCGCTCTGGGCATCCTCACGATTCCCCTGGGGATCGCCTTTATCCCTGGCACTCCCCCCCGCGATCCGTGCAGGACTGACAGCTCAGCGACCCGCCTGATGGAGGGCCCGTCCGCCCAACACAGCCCGCCAGGTCCCGCCCCGCCGACCCGCCCCGTTGCCCTGCCGCTTTTTTTTATCCTCCTCCTCCTCCTCCTCCCTCCTCCTCCTCCCTCGTCCTCCTCCTCCTCCTCCTCCTCCTCCTCCTCCTCCTCCTCCTCCTCCCCCTCCTCCTCCTCCTCCTCCTCCTCCTCCTCCTCCTCCTCCTCCCTCGTGCTCCATCCTTCTCCCTGCCCCCTTGCCCCCTCCCTCGGCCCTCCCGGCTCGCACTCCCTGCCTCCTCGCCATCTGCTTCTGCCGCCCCCCCCTCATCCTTCCGCGTTCAAAGGTTGCACCAACTACCTACACGTGGCAGGTCAAGGAGATACCCCCAAGGGTTGCACGATCGGAGGCGAAGAGGGTGGGTATCGAGGGCTTGATATGTACATGTTGATTGATTGGTGCGCGAGCAGTTAAGACCGAACAGTAGTAAGATACTGAATTGCTGGTATTGTCGTTGAATTGTCATCTCTGCTGACAAATTGTTGTTGACCTCCCCTCCAGTATCATTTGTTTTTCAATTGAAGTGTCCCTCTTTGGCCTCTACAAGGGCAAATCTTGAATTTCCAAATCTGGCTTTTGCCCCTCGCTTTACTACAACAACGGCTTACGCCTGATACGTGCCCACAATTCAGGGACGAATCGCGCTCCCGCACAGCACGTCCCCGCAATGCACCCAGGATTCGTGCTCTCGCGTTGGACTTCGTCGCAATTTGTTCAGACGCCGCACCCTCGAAACTCAGGACTTACGCTCTCGATCGGGACTTCCTCACGAGTTACTTGGGAATCACGCTATCGCTTGAGACTTCCTCTCGATTCACGCGGGAGACTGATGTTTCAATGGGAAGAGGCTCCGAAAACCCGAGGCGCAACGGACGGGCAGGTTAATCTTGCCCGCAAGATCGGTGGCGATCTCTCTCTCTCTCTCTCTCTAGCTTTTTTTTTTTTTTTTTTTTTTTTTTTTTTTTCTCTCTCTCTCTCTCTCTCTCTCCCCAAATCCCCCAAGTACCCCCCCAAGCCGGCCGATAAAAAGAGCAAGCGTAATTCGGGGGCACGCACCCCGGGGGCTATCCAGACGCACCCTCTTGAGGAGGAGGCGCGCCCCCCCATCGTGGACTCTCGAGTTATAGGCCCCAAAGTAATTGTCCAGTGGTACCACTGACGAAGGGTCGGCGGTTGGGGTCGTCTGGAGGCCGTGCGCACGGTGAGCTCGTGCCGTGTCGACGCGGCGGCGATGCCAGCGCGGGCGTAATTGACCAGCCGATATATATATATATATGTATATATATATACTGGTGGACGCCATCGGAAAGCCGCCGCGATCGCTCTCAAGGTGGAGCGATCCACGCGGTGCCGGAATCCAGCGCGCAGGTCGTCACGACAGGAAGCTGCCGCAATCGAGCCAGAAAGGATTCGGTCAGCTTGGCCTTCGGTTTGAGACGTTCCTCCCCGAGGAAGCAGCCGGCTGGAGCCAGGTCATCCCCTCCTCTTGTTTGGTTTCCCAGGGGCCCCCTCTGTCTCATCAGCCTGGGGCACGCATCCCTACCCTTCTGGTTCTCTGGTATCGCCTCACGTCGATGCCGATCTCGAGGCCCCCCCCCAGTTTTGCAAGGGTATGTCGAGGAGATCGTCATCGACTTGCGCTTGTCCATCTCTGGGGGAGGCGGAGGAGGAGGAGGTGGAGGCGGAGGCGGAGGCGGAGGCGGAGGAGGACGAGGAGGAGGAGGAGGCGGAGGAGGAGGAGGCGAAGGAGAAGGAGGAGGAGGCCGAGTAGGAGGAGGAGGCGGAGGAGGAGGAGGTCGAGGCGGAGAGGAGGATGAGGCGGAGGAGGAGGAGGAGGAGGAGGAGGAGGATGAGGACGAGGAGGCGCAGGCGGAGGCGGAGGCGTAGGCGGAGGCGGAACCGGAGGAGGCGGAGGAGGAGAACGAGTAGGAGGATTAGGTCGGGCGTGTCCTCCTACTGGCGGATTGAAAAGGACAATTTCAAAATAGTTTAAACATTTTCCCACATAGTTAAAGATAGTGGAACAAATCGTCCCCGTATTATTTTGTTTCTTTTGATTATTCCTTCTGTAGAGGGACACGCCCGAGTTACGATGAGGAGGAGGAGGGGTGAGCTCGAGGCCGGTCCCCCGCAGGAGAGGATCGGGGACGTGGCGCCCCACCACCTCTCGAGGGCCGCGCGCGCTTTGGCCGACCTCCGGCACTGGGACGAGAGGCTCCCGCGCGCTGCTCCGAAGGGACGGGGTATCAAGCAGCGGTAGGCCTGTAGGAGTGCCAGGACGGTCGGTCCCTGCTCAAGGGTAGGCTCAGGGGGGAACGCCCCGGGGCAACGTTACACCAAGAAACACCCTGCATGCCTCCAGGATGGTGATCGTTTTTTCTTCATTGTTTTGCCGATCGGCGCGGGCCCTCGCACCCCCGCCCCCTCCATGGAGTAGATCTTGGCTGTTTTGGGCGCCTGTTTCGAGCAGGTGGGGTCTCCCCCATAGGACGCACGGTTCCAAACAGTCGCATTAAGCAGAGGTCCAGAGCCAGACCCCCCCCCCTCCCCCCCCTCTTCGCTCAATGTCGAAACGCTGAATAAGAAAACGCTAACATGCCCTGGGCTTCTTGGGGTTCGATGGTTTTGTTGTGGAAATCGTGACGCTCCCACATCCAAAATCGATGGACGCCCTGGGGTCTCGGAGTTGGGTTTCTTGTGGAAGGTTTCTTGTGGTCGGGCCCCTCTGTAGGCTCAGGCGGGAACGCCCAGGGGCAACGCCAGTCGAGGAAGAAACAACCGCCATACACATAAACTTTTGGGGCTCCGCGCGGATTTCTTGGACCCGCGCTGGGGCCCCCCGGCGGCGCCTCCAGCGCCGCCCCTGGCGCGATCCGCGCGCCAGGGAGGGGGTCCAACGCAGATCCGAGAAATCCGCGCGGACTGGCGAATAGTTATGTTCATGCCGTTTCTTCTTCTTCTTCTTCTTCTTTTTCTTCTTCTTCTTCTTCTTCTTCTGGGAACGCCCAGGGGCAGCGTTGAGTTCTCGCACGTGGTCGTCGGTCCTCAGCATTTTTCCCGCCTCGGAGCGCTGTCCGGCCGCGGAGCCTCGCCGAGAGCGCTCTGGGGACGCCCGGGTCGTCCCGAGCGGCGGCCCAGGGCCCGAGCTAGGGCCCGAAGACCGCCGCGCGCCGCGTCAACAGTTACAGTCGGGGCGTTGACCAAAGGAACCCTCAACAAGGAACGAGGCCCCTATTTTCCAAAAGTTCAACTTTGATCTCAGATCGAAAACCTAAGGAAAACCTAAGGCAGGCTGCGAAACAATAAGGAACTCCGCTCTCTCCCCAACGAAAAGGGTTCCTTCTTCAGCGACCCGACTGTACGGCGGGACTTGTGGATGCGCGCTGTTGCAACGTTCGGCCCGAGGGGGGGGCTGCCCGGGCCACGGCGCCGGCAAACACGGCGCAGGATGAGAAGCCAGTCCCGCGGAAAGGGTCGGGTCCTTTCAAGGCCTTCGTGTTCACGACGTCGGGGGTCTGAGCTCTGCCGACATCGGCCACTGGGCCCACGCCAGAGCGGCCCTGCGGTGGAGGGCCAAGATTGCTTTTGTCGGAAATCGGAGCATATGCATTACTAGTGGCGGGCTGTGTCTCAATCCCAGGACTTTCAGGGCCGGGGGCGAGGTCGGGGTGGTGTGGTGTACATTTGCTTCCCCGTTTTCCGGGAGAAACAGCGAAAAAGATATACAGGATCCCGTGTACACACCAGGATCCGCTTTCTTGTACGAGCTTCCGTGCGGGGCCGGTAAGAGGCATCGGTGTCTAGAGTTCGGCCCCTTACTTTGCTGCACACCAGCGCACGGCCTGCTGCGACCCGGCGGCGAGGGCGAGGGTGCCCGGGGGTCGTCCCCCTTCTGGCGTCCCCGGGACACGCCGCGCCCGCTGCGGAGCTTGCCCGGTCCTCCGGAGAAGAGGAGAAGGAAAGGGAGGAGGAGGAGGAGGCGGAGGAGGAGGAGAAGCAGGATGAGAAGGATGAGAAGGAGGAGGAGGAGGAGGGGGAGGAGGAGGAAGAACGCCACAATCGTAGAATTCAGGTTTGGTCAACGTTAAGCAGGAGGAGGAGGAGGAGGAGGAGGAGGAGGAGGAGGAGGAGGAGGAGGAGGAGGGTGAGGAAGTAGAGGCGGAAGGAGAGGAGGGGGAGGAAGTAGAGGCGGAAGGAGAAGAGGGGGAGGAAGAGGAGGTGGAGGGATGGGGAAGCAGCATCAGCAGGAGCAGGGCAGTGGAGGGGGGGAGGGGGCAGGGGAGGAGGAGGGCGGCGAGGTGGACGCAGAGGAGGGCGGCAGAGGAGGGGCACGGGGAGGAAGGGACCCGAGGGGCCCGCGGGGCCCGCGGCCACGAGCGCGGCGCGGCGAGGGTCACACTGCTCGGCGGAGGAGGAGGCGGAGGAGGAGGAGGAGGAGGCGGAGGCGGAGGAGGAGGAGGAGGAGGAGGAGGTCGAGGAGGTCGAGGAGGCGAAGGCGGAGGCGGAGGCGGAGGCGGAGGCGGAGGCGGAGGGAGGGATAGGGAATGGAGTTGCTGCGGCTGAGGCTGCGGCTGCGGGCCGGGGTTGGGCAAGCCAAGTGCCAGCCACCGCGCAACATTTGACGTCCCACGGTCGGTAACTCTTGCTCAAGTAGCGTGCCGCGGCGTCGGCCCTAGCCGCCCACCACGCTTCGGCGCGACACGCTGCCCACTTGCAAGGTCCAAGATCGACTACACGTAAGAGTGAGCTCTCGCCGGAGTGACCTTTGGTGGGGCCCAATGGGGTCCCCCGATCGCTGAGCGCGAAGCGGTAGCAGCGGCTTGCGCGCCCAGGTTTGGCCACCCCGCGTCCTCCGTTTTGCCGCGCACCAAAGGTCACTCTTACCCAGGGTCACTCTTACGTGTAGCCGACAAGAATCAACGTCCCCAGCCTTTCAAAGCCTCCCAGTCCCCAAGCGTCAACGTCCAGACGTATGGTAGGTTTAAAGACTTATCGGCATGCATTTGTATATGCACACACATGCGTCTCTGTGTTGGTATACAGATCCGTGTGTAACAGTGAGTTGAACTGCGCGCCGAATGCAAACCACGAGTGGTTTCAATTCCCCCCCTTTGCCTCCTCATCGCCTGACGGGTGGTCTGTGTGGTAGCCGCGGGGAGTTGTGCAACGCGCAGGAGGATGAATATTTGAGTAAGAGGAGGAGCAGAAAAAGGGATGGATGCCGAGAATGAAAGAGGACATCAAGGAAGAGGACGAGGATGGGGTTGAGGTATTGGAGGTCTTCCAGTCGGTAAGGAGGCGGTGGAATCGTTCTGCCTCCTCGGTGTCGCATGTGCCCCCGTCTGCCTCACGCCCCTTCACCCTGCCATTTTCTTCCCGTTGTCCTTCTGTCGTTATCCTTTTCTTGGTTTTTCCTTTTCCGCCGTCTTTGATCTCTCCTTCTCTTCAGGTTCCTGGACTTGCTCGGCGCAGAGTCAATGAGGCGAGCGGACCAGTTCAGGCCGCAGGATGCTGCGGACATGATGATGTCGGTTGCGACTTTGCGCTACGACAACCTGGGTTTAGTTCAGGCATGACCTCTCCTTGCGCCCCGAGGTCTCATACAGATGAGTACGCAATGACGTTCATGGTGGGAATGGGAGCGATACTGCGATAATGAGGTGGCCCATGGAGAGATGATGGAGAGATTGGATATGCCGCTGGGTGTTCAAGGTCGTCCGCAGATTCGAACACGAGTGAACAACAGTGGGATAGTTACCCTTCCGTTCGTTTGTCGTGTATCTTGGCGTTTACCTAGGTATTTCGTTGTGTATGCAGACGCCGTGTAGATCTACCTACAAGTATGTGTGCTCACTGCAAGAAATGCCTGCCCAGTTGTGTTGATCTGGCGTGCGCCCAGTGCGCGAATCCGTGCCAGATAATGCAATGCGGGTCGCGCGAGCGCGCGCGCCGCCACGCGCGCGTCTTGAAATCCCTTGCAACCCATTGGCTCCCGAAGCATCTCAAAATGGAGCCCTTCAAAAACATATACAAAGCAAGCGGTGTTCAATTCACGCTTGTCAGAGCTTCGAATTTCTGCACGCGCGCACTTCCTCAGCATCACCCTCATCAGCGACATCGCTTGATCGCCGTCATCGTAACTGGCAGTCGTCGCCACTGGGGCCATCATCAACTGGTCACCTTCCTTTCCTACGCATGGGCAGCATCGTCGCCATCGTCATCACCAGCATCGGCGCCGTCGGCGGCCTTGCCGTCTGAGCATTCCTGCAGGGCGTCTCCTCGGCTTCTTGGCCCTCCTGGACGTCACTGCCTGTTGGGCCTCGAAATTGGGCCCGGGTCGGTCCGGAGAGAGGCCGGACGGCCCCGCGAGACCCCAAAAACACCCAAGACGCCCGAAAACGTGCCAGAGGAGATCCTTAAGTCAGAGCCTCGAATCATCCGGGGTAACTCGGGTCAGGGATAATTCGGGTTCGTTTTTCGGGAATCCAAACCCGAGTTACCCCGGACCCGAGTTACCCCGGATAACTCGGGCATCCAGAGCCCCGAATCATCAGGGGTAACTCGGGTCAGGGCTAACTCGGGTTCCTTTTTCGGGACTCCAAACCCGAGTTACCCCGGACCCGAGTTACCCCGGATAACTCGGGCGCCCAATTAAGAAGCCATCCAAGCGGACTGACGTTGATGTTTGCATCTGTTTGTATCGGTTTGGAGAGGTTGGTTCGTCGGTCTTCTGGGCTTCTGAAGCCGTTCAAGCGGTCCCGAACATCGCATCCAAACCAGCCAAAAGGGCACCCAGAAAGTCCACGAGAGCCCCAAGACGGCCCAACAGGGCCCCAAGACGACTCGAAGAGAGCACCATGACAGCCCCCAAACAGTTCCAAGTCACTGCCATGTCGTTGAGGGACACCTTAGCTGGCAGCAAGGGGGCTCTAAGTGGCCGCGCAGACCCCCAAACCGCGCCCTGTAGGCCTCCAGAGGCCCCCAAGAAGCTTTCGTCCGGCCCCCAAGAGGACCCCAAGAAGGAGCCTCTGCAGAAACAACTCCCAGAGGGATTTTAGGGAAGGTTTTGCAGGAATGGGCCAGAACGAGACGGGAAATAACATTTGACATGGTAATTCACAGCGTGAAGGAACAACATGAGGATAGCGGCGAGGACGAAAACGGGAACAAGGATGTGCTCGTTTTTTAATTAGTCATTGGTTGCGTGGCTAAAGTGGGTTCCGCGGTGTGGAGTGTTGTTGCGTTGCGTTGCGTTGTTGTGTCGTCCTCGCCCGCGACCCGCCCGCGACCCGTCCACGACCCACCTGCGACCCAACCCGCGACCACCCCGCGACCCATCCCGCGACCCTACCTGCTACCCATCCGCGATGCACCCACGTTGCTTGACGAAGTAAGTCGGCACCTGCGGCGGGCTCGTTGTGCAAGGTGTAGGATGAAGAAGGATCGGCAATTACGGCGGGCTTCGTCAGAGCTTCAAATATTGCTGACAACCCCGCCGCCCCCTCACTCTTATAGTTCCCCTCTATTTTTCCCATTTTCATGTTGCTTGCATGCGATAGTTGAAGGGCCAAAGGGCATGGCACGATGTGTCATTGCAGCATTGGGTCTATACCGATAGGATGGCCTGTCGGGTGATAAGGAGGTTGGTGGGGAGAAGGGGGAGGCGATCGATTAGCGATGGCTCTGGGTTCTTGGTGGTGGTGGTGGCGATGGTGGTGGTTTGGTGGTGGTGGTGGGTGGTGGTGCTGTCTATATATCCATCTACCTCTCTCTCTCTCTATCTGTGGCTTGATTGCAGATGTCTTCGAGATGATGGTGGTGATGGTGGTGCTAATGGTGTCAATGTGTGTCCATCTACCTATCTAACTGTCCATTTGTCTGCCTGTCTACTGGTCTACCTATCTATCTCTCGACCCAACTATCTATCTATCTCTGTACCCACCGTCGGGACACCATCGGGACAAGTCGGGACAACCATCGGGATAACCATCGGGACAACCATCGGGACAACCATCGGGACAACCATCGGGACAACCATCGGGACAACCATCGGGCCAACCATCGGGACAACCATCGGGACAACCATCGGGACAACCATCGGGACCACCATCGAGACTACCATCGGGACAACCATCGGGACAGCCATCGGGACAACCATCGGGACTACCACAGGGACAACCATCGGGACTACCATCGGGACAACCATGGGGACAACCATCGGGACAACCATCGGAACAACCATCGGCACAACCATCGGGACAATCATCGGGACACCCACCGGGACAACCATCGGGACAACAATCGGGCCAACCATCGGGCAAACCATCGGGACAACCATCGGGCCAACCATCGGGACAACCATCGGGAAAACCATCGGGACAGCCATCGGGACAACCATCGGGACAACCATCGGGACAACCATCGGGACAACCACGGGGGCCGCGCTCGGCCGGGGTGGGGGGCGGGCGACCTTTTGGGCTCCATGTGGCCTCTACAAGTGCAGGAGTTCGCGCAGCTTCGCTTTGTCCGCACGCACGACACGAAAGGAAACCGAAACCGATTTCCTGGTTGGGTCACTTCCCTTCACGCCCCCCCTCCCAACCTTTGATGTAGTACTTATGTGGCCTCATTTTATGATGCTGATGTTGATGCTGATGCTGAAGTTGTTGTTGATGCTTCTGGTGCTGATGGTTACGGTCATGGTCATGGTCATGGTAATGGTCAGAATGTGGTGATGATGCTGATTATGATGGTGGCGGTAAGGATGATGAACATGAGAGTTTGGGTTGCACATGAGTAAGAAGATGCAGAGGGGGATGGCGGAAATCACAAGGAGAGAAGGTGAGTAGAAGATTGGGCGGGAGACGGATGAGGAGGAGCGGGACACTGTAGTCCGAGGCAGAGGATGGGGGAGAGAAGAAAGGAACGGGATGATGAAAAGCAGCAGGAGGAGAACGATGATACGGAAATTCGATGGGGGACAATATGGGCAAGGGCATACAACAGATGAAGAGTGAATGATGGAAAGATGAGTCAAGGGGAGACTGGACACCATTTGATGATGAGGAGGGGGACGATGAAAACGCGATGAGGGTTGCGACGGAGCAGGAGGAGGAGGAGGAGGTGGTGGTGGTGGTGGTGGAAGAGGAGGAGGAGGAGGAGGAGGAGGAGGAGGAGGAGGAGGAGGAGGAGGAGGAGATGGGGGAGGCGATGGAGGAGGATGAGGAGGAGGAAGAGCAGGAGGAAGAGAAGGTGGTGGAGGAGGACGAGGAAGAGCAGGAGGTAGAGAAGGTGGAGGAGGAGGATGCGGGTAGGATGAGGAGGCGCCGCAGCAGTGGCAGCGAAGCGCGTGGGGCCCAGGCCCTCACGGCCCAGTTCCTGGCGCGCTGCGGGCCAGACCCCCCCGCAGCGGCCGTCTCGGACGTGGCCTGGGCGCACGCCACCCTGGGCGCCTGCGGGGAGGCGCTCTGCCGGAGCCGCGATCGTAGAGGGGGGGGGGGGGCCACAGAGGAGGAGAACGCAGGGGAGCCGTGGGAGCAGGGGGACGAGGGAGGCCAGAAGAGGAGGGGCGACAGGGGGACGTGTGGGATGAGGGCAGGGGAAGGAGGAGGAGGGAGGATGAGGATGGGAGGAGAAGGCGGAGTTGAGGTGGGTGTTGAAGCGGGGGTGGCGGTGGAGGAGCAGAGGGTGGAGGATGGGGGATCAGGGAAGGAATGAAAACCAAGTGTTAGGGATGAGGCCGGTGGAGGGGGATGAGAGTGGGGAGTTGGGAGGTGAGAAAGGGAGGAGGGAGGCAAGTTAGGTGAGCCTGCGCCATATCTGACATCCTACCTCTCCCACCCATCCATTCCCACTGCGCGGTTTCTCTCTTTCTCTGTTGACGTGTGTCATAGCGGGCCTTGAACTCTAAAGGGGACCTGATTGCGTTACGCGCACTGAGAAAAAAGGGAGCTGCGCACATTGGAGGGGAAGGTGGCGGATGAGCAGAAGCATGAGCAGGAGGCAAAAGAAGGATGAGGAGAACGAGGACGAACAGCAACAGCAGCAGCACAAGCTGGAGCGGGAAGGCGGAGGAGAGCGAATGAGGGGGTCGAGAACGATGGAAATGTGATCCAGAAAAGTGACCCGCGCTTGGGCGAGAGCGCCATTCTGCACGACGGGAGCACGGCGCCGATCCAAACAATGAGGCCTGCGCTGCAGCGGGAGCACCATTTTGACACCGAAAACACTCAGATTGTTGAACAACGAATGGAACATAGCCTTCGTCCAATCTTGTGTGTTGAAACAGTATTCGGTGAGGGCGAATGTTTTTATGGACAGGGTCAGGGGAGAGAGGAGAGCAGCATGTATTCAGGAATTCTGCAAGAGGGTGTGCGGTTATGTGCACGAGTTTGAGGACTGTTAGTAATATCGCAGATGGACGCATGCCATCGTTGACCCCAAACAGTCAGCAATTGCGCTGTGGATGGACAAGCTACGTGGTGTGAGCTGTGTGTAAGCTGTGTGGTGCAAGCCATGTGCCTGGAGCTGTGTGGTGCGAGCTGTGGGGTGCGACCGATATGCTGCAAGTTGTGCGGCGTGAGGTGTGTGTGTGTGTGTGTGTGTCTGTGCGTGTGTGTGTGTCTGTGCGTGTGTGCGTGTGTGCGTGCGTGCGTGCGTGCGTGCGTGCGTGCGTGCGTGCGTGCGTGCGTGCGTGCGTGCGTGCGTGCGTGCGTGTGTGCGTCTGTGTGTGTGCGTGTGTTGCAGGCCGTAAGGCGCAGGCCACGTGGCGCAGCCCACGTGGCGCCCCGCCCACGCCGTGCAGGAGACGAGAACGCGAGCTCGACGCGGCGCGAGCTGCGCGGTGCCAGGCGGTGCGGCACGCGCCGCCCGGGGCGCCCACGGCCGCCCACCGGGCGGCAGCCTCGCCGCGCCCGCCCAGCGCACGCGGGGCGCCCACGCCCCGCCCGCGGCCGCCCCCTCGGGCGACACGCGTGGGCGCCCTCGCGCGGCACGCGGGGCGCACGAGGCGCGCCCACGGGGCGCCCACCGGCCGCCCACCGGGCGACGAGAGGCCTCCTCTCGCCGCGCCCGCCGAAGCCCGCGGGCGAGCGCGGCGAGAGCCCCACGAGTGCAGGGGCTGCTCGGGGGGGGGGGGTGCAGGGGCGCGGAGCACACAGCGGGCACACCCGAGCAGCCCGGGCGCGGCATCTGGCGACGGGTGCTCCTCGCACCTCCACCTCCGCCTCTCTCTCACGCGTGAAGGTTGGCAGGCTGGCGCTGCGTCGCCTGTCCGCCTCGGCGATGCATGCTTGTCGGGGTGTTCCTCTCCTGCGTCTTCCGCGCGGGTTCGAGACTTCTGTCGCTCTAGGAGGATAACAGCTGTCCTTTCCGGATGCTCGTTCGGATTCTGCTCTGTGCGACTGCAGTGCGAATGTTGCATTTGCGGTACTTTCTGCAAGCATCGCGCCAGGGATGCATCGTTTTGATCGAGCTCTGCGCTCTTCAGCCGCGCAGCTGTCAAGATACAAAGACGCTTGCTGACTGTACAGGCCTCCACGGCCTGGACCTTGCTTCGGGCAGCTGATAATCGCAGCGTGCGGCTAGACTAGAAGCACAGTTTCCACCGCCGCTCTGACTGCCCCGAGCCTCTGGCGGAGTTCCGATCGATTCGTGGCGTCCGCCGAAAGAACGCAGCTGAGGTAGACGGCGCCGTCTTCCTGACTTGCCCAATTTCCGTCTGGCATCGGAATGTTAGCGGCGCATCGAACTGGGAGTGCAAGCTTCTTCCTATTAAACTTGAGTGGCTGTAGTTGGAGAGGTGGGGGCTGATGCTTGTCTGGTGTCCCCCACCGCAGAGCTCCTGTCCTTGCAAATATCGCCGATGGCGTTAAGCATGTGTGAGGAGATGCCGATACGCACTAATGCTTCCATGTGGGGTTTATGGGTTCACGCTCTCGAAAGTCACGGCCTGGGCAGCTCGCAGATGACGCCTCTTGAGGAGGATGGCATCGGCCGTGCCGTGCCTTGCACTTCAATCCAAACTGCGTGCTCCACACGGTCTTCCGCTCCCTGAGCCTTGAGCCGTTGCAGTATACCCGCGACGTGCAACCAGCCTGGATCAACCAAGTTAGCCTGCAGTTCTCTCACAATCCAGGCTCGCCCTTTTTTTTGAATATCGCCGAGCCCAGTCCTGAGACTCGGGCCAGCTTTCCAGGACTACCCTGTCCTCCCAGTACTTCTGACACGGCACCACTGGCCATGAGCGCTTTTCTGACGGGCGAAAGCGGGCAGCAAGCGCGGTCGCCGACGCCCGGCGCGGAGCCCCCTAGTCGGGGCACCTTGGGCAGCTGGGCGACGCGGCCCGCCGCCAGCGCCGAGCGGGGCTCCAAGCAGCAGCATCGCCCCCTGCCCAAGCGCCGACCGGCGCTCCCGCCGTCGCGGACAAGCAGTGGCCAGCATCGCCGCCGAGGTCTCCGTGCTGCGGCCGCAGTGCAGGCAGCAGGCCTGCCCGGGCCCCTGCGCGAGGGAGTGGGGCCATGATGAGCGGCCCGCAGCGAACTCGGCGAGCAGGGCGCCGGCGCTGACGGGCTCGGCGCTGGCGCCCCGGCGTAGCCGAGCTGCAGGCGGGGCCGCGGGGGCGCGGCTGGCGGCGTTGGGGCCCTGGCGCGGACGCCGCGCGTGCGCAAGCCCCTGGCCAGGCCGCGCGCCATACGCGCCAGCGGCGGCGCTGGGGGGCAGGCGCTGTGTTTTGTTGGTTTTTGTTGTGGCAAGGGGGTACAGGAAAACAGGTCGAGCAAAACGAAGACCATAACGAAAACATAACGAACAACAGCGTTTAGGTCCAGCCCTGGGCCGGACCTCCCGCCTCCTCCTCCCTCCTCCCTCTGCTCGAGGGCCAGAAGGAGGGCAGGAGGTGTTTCGATCCTCGCGCCACGGCATGTGCACGGCTCAGATGCCGGCAAGTCGACAGCCACATGGGTGTGCCCTTCAGGGTCCAAGCTCGGAGATGCGAGTTTGCTCTGGCAAGCCCAGCTGATGATGGATCCCACGAGCATGCTTGTCCCCTGGGAGTCGACGTTGCAGACACAACCGTAGCATCGCAAGCACAAGAACACACCACGGGAGCCCCATAACCCAGCTCTCTGCGCTCTTTTTTGTTGACCGGCATCGATCTGCCAGAGCCCACGGACCCGAGATTGGGCGGAGACCCTCGTTGTCACAGAGCTGCAGCGCCAGGATCTGAGGGGAGGGCTCCCATGTAGAAGGAGGAGGAGAAGGAGGAGGAGGCGGAGGAGGAGGAGAAGGAGGAGGGGCAGGAGGAGAAAGAAGAGGAATTGGAGGAGGAGAAGGAGCAGGAGGAGGAGCAGGAAGAGTATGATGAGGAGGAGGAGGCGGAGGAGGAGGAGGAGGGGGAGGAGGGAGGAGGAGGAGGGAGGGGGGAGGAGGGGGACGGAGGGGGAGGAGGGAGGAGGAGGCGGAGGGGGGGGAGGGAGGAGGGAGGAGGGAGGAGGGAGGGAGGAGGGAGGAGGAGGGAGGAGGGGGGAGGAGGAGGAGGAGGAGGTGGCGGAGGAGGAGGAGGCGTCTGCCCCCCCCTCCGCGGCCACCTCTGGGGCGCCCCCTCCGGCCCCGCCTCCCGCTCTCCGGCGCTGCCCTGGCCCCGCCGCCCCGGGAGGAGCGGCGTGCTGTCCCGGGCCGCGCCGGGCGCGCGCGAGGCTCAGGGGCGGCCTGAGCGACCCCTATTCAGGGCGTGGATTACCTACCCAGCTTTCGCTTCCAGGCAAAACCAAGTCATACCACACGCCTCCTCGGCAAGCGGCCTGACCAGTACATGCCGTAGTTTGGCATCGCTTGGTATCTCTTGGAAGCGAGGGTGGTCAAAAGCGAGGTAGGTTAGTTTGCCCCCTACCTATAGCAAGCCATCCCCTGCCGCGGCGTTCCCCTCGCCGCGTCCCAGGGCGCAGCTGTGCGGCCGGGGGGCAGCCTGATAGTCGAAGAAGAGAAGGCGCCATAAACAGAAGTTTTTGGCGCTCCGCGCGGATCTCTTGGATCCGCGCTGGGCCTCCCCCCCCGGCGGCGCCTCCGGCGCCGCCCCAGGCCTGGCGCGCTCCGCGCGCCAGGGAGGGGGGGTCCAGCGCAGATCCGAGAATTCCGCGCGGAGCGCCACAAGTTTATATTTAGGGCGTTTCTTTTGGTCTAGGGCAGCTTGAGAGGCGAGGGGGACGCCACGAAGGGGGATGGTTTGCGAGGGGTCGGCCAGGCCGCGCCCGAGAGGTCGCCTCGGGCAAGCTGGCGGGGCTGGCGTGGGCCGCCGCGGCGCTGGGCAGCCGCGACGA